AAAGATTCCGCCAATTTATGATAATAGGATGTAGCAAAAATATTTTTGGAGATATTTAAAAAAATGTTTTGCAAAACTTTAAACGCGTTTTCTGGCTAAACTAGAAGAAATAGAGCGATTTTAAGTGTTTTTTGTGATCACTGGGAGTTCACAGATTCCGCCAATATATGATAATAGGATGTAGCAAAAATATTTTTGGAGATATTAAGAAAAATCTTTTGCAAAACTTTAAACGCGTTTTCTGGCTAAACTAGAAGAGATAGAGCGATTTTAAGTGTTTTTTGTGATCACTGGGAGTTCAAAGATTCCGCCAATTTATGATAATAGGATGTAGCAAAAATATTTTTGGAGATATTTAAAAAAATCTTTTGCAAAACTTTAAACGCGTTTTCTGGCTAAACTAGAAGAAATAGAGCGATTTTAAGTGTTTTTTGTGATCACTGGGAGTTCACAGATTCCGCCAATATATGAGAATGGGCTGTAGTAAAAATATTTTTGGAGATATTTAAAAAAATGTTTTGCAAAACTTTAAACGCGTTTTCTGGCTAAACTAGAAGAGATAGAGCGATTTTAAGTGTTTTTTGTGATCACTGGGAGTTCACAGATTCCGCCAATATATGATAATAGGATGTAGCAAAAATATTTTTGGAGATATTAAGAAAAATCTTTTGCAAAACTTTGAATGCGTTTTCTGACTAAACTAGAAGAGATAGAGCGATTTTAAGTGTTTTTTGTGATCACTGGGAGTTCACAGATTCCGCCAATATATGATAATAGGATGTAGCAAAAATATTTTTGGAGATATTTAAAAAATCTTTTGCAAAACTTTAAACGCGTTTTCTGGCTAAACTAGAAGAGATAGAGCGATTTTAAATGTTTTTTGTGATCACTAGTAGTTCACAGCTTCCGCCAATATATGATAATAGGATGTAGCAAAAATATTTTTGGAGATATTTAAAAAAATCTTTTGCAAAACTTTAAACGCGTTTTCTGGCTAAACTAGAAGAGATAGAGCGATTTTAAGTGTTTTTTTGTGATCACTGGGAGTTCACAGATTCCGCCAATATATGATAATAGGATGTAGCAAAAATATTTTTGGAGATACTTAAAAAAAACTTTTGCAAAACTTTAAACGCGTTTTCTGGCTAAACTAGAAGAGATAGAGCGATTTTAAGTGTTTTTTGTGATCACTGGGAGTTCACAGCTTCCGCCAATATATGATAATAGGATGTAGCAAAAATATTTTTGGAGATATTTAAAAAAATCTTTTGCAAAACTTTAAACGCGTTTTCTGGCTAAACTAGAAGAGATAGAGCGATTTTAAGTGTTTTTTTGTGATCACTGGGAGTTCACAGATTCCGCCAATATATGATAATAGGCTGTAGCAAAAATATTTTTGGAGATATTTAAAAAAATCTTTTGCAAAACTTTAAACGCGTTTTCTGGCTAAACTAGAAGAGATAGAGCGATTTTAAATGTTTTTTGTGATCACTAGTAGTTCACAGCTTCCGCCAATATATGATAATAGGATGTAGCAAAAATATTTTTGGAGATATTTAAAAAAATCTTTTGCAAAACTTTAAACGCGTTTTCTGGCTAAACTAGAAAAGATAGAGCGATTTTAAGTGTTTTTTTGTGATCACTAGGAGTTCACAGATTCCGCCAATATATGATAATAGGCTGTAGCAAAAATATTTTTGGAGATATTTAAAAAAATCTTTTGCAAAACTTTAAACGCGTTTTCTGGCTAAACTAGAAGAGATAGAGCGATTTTAAATGTTTTTTGTGATCACTAGTAGTTCACAGCTTCCGCCAATATATGATAATAGGATGTAGCAAAAATATTTTTGGAGATATTTAAAAAAAACTTTTGCAAAACTTTAAACGCGTTTTCTGGCTAAACTAGAAGAGATAGAGCGATTTTAAGTGTTTTTTGTGATCACTGGGAGTTCACAGCTTCCGCCAATATATGATAATAGGCTGTAGCAAAAATATTTTTGGAGATATTTAAAAAAATCTTTTGCGAAACTTTAAACGCGTTTTCTGGCTAAACTAGAAGAGATAGAGCGATTTTAAGTGTTTTTTTGTGATCACTGGGAGTTCACAGATTCCGCCAATATATGATAATAGGCTGTAGCAAAAATATTTTTGGAGATATTTAAAAAAATCTTTTGCAAAACTTTAAACGCGTTTTCTGGCTAAACTAGAAGAGATAGAGCGATTTTAAATGTTTTTTGTGATCACTAGTAGTTCACAGCTTCCGCCAATATATGATAATAGGATGTAGCAAAAATATTTTTGGAGATATTTAAAAAAATCTTTTGCAAAACTTTAAACGCGTTTTCTGGCTAAACTAGAAAAGATAGAGCGATTTTAAGTGTTTTTTTGTGATCACTAGGAGTTCACAGATTCCGCCAATATATGATAATAGGCTGTAGCAAAAATATTTTTGGAGATATTTAAAAAAATCTTTTGCAAAACTTTAAACGCGTTTTCTGGCTAAACTAGAAGAGATAGAGCGATTTTAAATGTTTTTTGTGATCACTAGTAGTTCACAGCTTCCGCCAATATATGATAATAGGATGTAGCAAAAATATTTTTGGAGATATTTAAAAAAATCTTTTGCAAAACTTTAAACGCGTTTTCTGGCTAAACTAGAAGAGATAGAGCGATTTTAAGTGTTTTTTGTGATCACTGGGAGTTCACAGATTCCGCCATATGATAATAGGCTGTAGCAAAAATATTTTTGGAGATATTTAAAAAAATCTTTTGCGAAACTTTAAACGCGTTTTCTGGCTAAACTGGAAGAGATAGAGCAATTCTAAGTGTTTTTCGTGATTACTAGGAGTGATTTTTCGAGCTATAATAATTTTAATCTTAATTTTAGTTAATGTTAGTATAAGTTATTTGTGGTGGAAAAACTAAATGGGAATGAAGTTCACGAATATTATTAATTGAATGAGTCAGCTATTATATTCTTTCACTTTTTAATAATTGGGTTAATTACAACTTATTTATTATAAAAAAAATTAAAATATTTATTGTCTGTAATTCTTTAAATAAAAAATATTTAATTTTTTTTAAATAATTATATTAATTTTATTTCTTAATTAGTTTAACCTCTTTTTTTTATACTTATTTAATATTTTTTTTTTTCTCTCTTTTTGTAAAATACAAAAATATACAACTTTTACAGAAATTATTATGAATACCGAGAAAAGGATAAAAACTAATGAAAAACAGGCAAAATAAAACCTATTCCTTCAATGTATTTAATTTTTGTAATTCTAAACAATTTTCTTTTTTTAATATTAACTTTAGTAAACATAATATAATTACTATTTATGGTTGTTATTATTTTTCTTATAATTCGTGTATGATTTTCTTTTTTTTTTTTTTCAATTTTAGATAATACAAAGTTTTTTTACGTTTTAAATTAAATTTTGTGAACATTTTTATAATTAAGTTTTTAAACCTATAATTAAAAATTAAAGAATATAAAATAAGTTTTGAAATTTATTGTGTATAAAATTAAACTAGAAAAGAAAAGTTTTTTGTTTGTTTTTTTTTTTTATTAACGTTTTTTTAACTTTCTAACTAAAATACATGTTATATTTATCATTTAAATTATTAATTAATTACGAAAATTAAAATATATATATATATATATATATATATATATATTAAGAAACGAATTTACACTGGTTGGAAAAAAAATTGTAAGTATCTCTTAAAAAACATGATCCATGTATAATACATACATACGTACATATATGCATATATATATATATATATATATATATATATATATATATATATATATATATATATGTATATATATATAATATATGATATATATATATAATATATAATATATATATAAGTATAATATATATATATATATATAAGTAATATATAATATATATATAATATATAATATATATATATATCTATAAATATATTTTGTGTTTTATGATATTCATAAATTTTTGGAAAATAATTGAATTTACAATTTTTTAATTAATAACTCTTTTAAATTTAATGCATTTAAAAGCAATAATATTCGACAAATATATTTTTATTTTAATCTGCGAAATTTCGAATAGAAGTAATTCAAAATCATCAATGAAATGGTTTTTCCATTTATTTACAAGAAAGGATGAACAGATTATTAAGATTTAAATATAAAAAATAATATGAAAATAATTTGAGCGTCGTATAATTACATATTACCAATATTCTTTATTTTAATTATTAAATTTCGTTAATTAAAATTTAGTTAACATTCAAAAATTTAAAGTCTTATTTATAATTAATATTTTTAATAAATTTAGTAAATCAAATCAATTTAATTTAAAAAATTCGGCTTCTTCTTTTATTTGAAAGTATAATGTTAATTCTATAAAGAAAAAAAATATTTACAAAATGAACAGGATACAATTTTGAAATAAAAAAAAAATATCAATATTTCTCATAATTTAAATGAATTTTTTAAACAATTAACAAAATACTTAGTATAGTAAAATATGTAACTAATAATACTCTTTGATTTATTTAAATAAATTTATGTAAAAATCAATAATTTTTAGTTCCCAAATTATTCAAAATATTAAAAACTTCTATATAGGGAAACAAAACTTAAGTTTTTTATATAATGTAAATGCATCAAATTTATATATTATTACTTTTTTAATTTATTTTGATATTATATATATATATATATATATATATATATGCATATACATCTATATTTATAAAAATACATGAATTTATTATTATTAATAGAAATTTTATAGAAATAATTAAAAACTTATTAACTGATTTCTTAGCTTTCTTCCTTTATTTTCTAACTTAAATTTTATTATTATAATTATAAACCTAAACTTTAATTTTTGCATTTAAAAATTAATATAGAAATACATATTATATTTAAAATAATTAAAAATTAAATTTAAAGTTGTTCTAGAAAAAAAATAAAAAAAAATTAATAAAATCTAAAATAAAAAAAAATAATATAAGAATTTTTAAAATTAAAATAATTAATAAAATAGTTATTTTTAAAGAGAAACAAAACAGTAAAAAAAAAAAAAACTACATTATGGATTTGTGTGATTTGTTTGCGTTTTTTTTTTTTCCTCGTTAATTACATTATACATATATTGTACAGAATATATAATAAATGTATATAATTATGTACTTATATATTTAATGAATATCCTTAGAATTCTATCTACATTAAGATCGAAAATCATTATTATTACTAACAATACAAAAAATTTTTTAAATTAAAATATTCTTTCAATAATCCTTGTTTTTTTTTTTTTTGTGTTTTTATTTTATTATTTTTTCTTTTTTTAAATATTATACAAATTGTAATTAATTCGCTTTTAACTTATTCTTATTACTTACTATGTATTTCTTTTATAAATTTTATTTGAAAAATTTATTACATTTTTTTTTATTTATTTTTATTTTTTTTTAATAAAATTTTTCAATTATTTACACAGCAGCTTCAAGTAAATAAAATAAATATATTTTGTAGTTTAGTAAAATTATTTATTGAATAAAAATATTAAAATTAGGTAGAAGAAAATTTGTAAATTTTGAAGAAAAATAAAAAATTAAAACAGCGGAAAAATAAAAAAGAAAATGTGAAGTTCAACTGATGAAGTATACATTGTTAATATAAAGTATAATAGTTTATTTAATTTCTTTTTTTTTTTTGTAAAACATAATTTTTTCACTAATGTTTCTTAATGGGTAACTATTATAGAAATAAATCGAACATAAATATTGTAAAAAATTAATTTCAATAAGTTTAATGCATCGAAATTATTTTTTTTAAATTTTTACATTAATATATTTTCTGAAAACTGCTATGCATATATATATAAAAAAAAAAATAGGAAAAAAAAATAAATTTTTTTTTTACCTTACAATTTATAATAAAAGGCAGATTACAAATATAAACTATGTATTTTAATTTTTTTTATATTTTTCTTAACACAAATAACTAATACAAAAATTTTTTCCATCTAATTTCAATTTTACAAAAAAAAAAAAAAAATAAAACTGAAAAAAAAAAACGACTTAAATTATTTTTCTATTTTAAATTTATTATTTTATTTGTTTCATTTTTTGTAAATTCTCTTTAAAAATTCAATACCTAAATTCATTCAATTTATTTATTTTTTAATTTTATGAATTTGACATAGAAGTTGTTGTTGTTGTTGATGATACATTTGTTGAATTCGTTACAGATATTGTGTTAGGGTTATTACTAGCAGTTTTAACAAATGTTGATCCGGGTACAATTGGAGGAGACATTAATTGCGGTGATAAAATTACTGTGTTCCCTGTACTCTGTATTGTAGTTTGTCTAACGATATTTGATTGTGTCGATGTTCCTATTATATTAATATTATCTAAGAATGTTGTAGTAGAATTTAATTTCATTTTTGAACATGGTATACATAACATATTTGAATGTTCTCTCAATCTTGTCAAATGATCAGTACGATATTCATTTACCCATTTTGTAGAGCGACGTTGATTTTTTTTAACAACTACTTGGGGATTCGGTGATAGTAACTGAGATGATGGGTTACCTAATGGATCAGTTGCACCACATCGACGACAAATAGCACAACGTTCACAACTCCAACGTTCTAAATTAATATAAATTATTTTTTTTTAAAATTTAATTTAACAAAAAAAAAATACGTTATATTCTTTATTATAAATAAAATAAAGTTGGGTCAAACCAATGGTTTGTATTGTAGCACTTTTCCCTTCAACAAGTGAAAATTCTGCTTTTAAATACAGTCTATGGATACCTATCAAACTATTAAAATTATTTTCATTCATATACAAAACTATTTCTAGAATTGCATATATTTAGGATGACGCATATATGCAGTGTTTGAAATAAAGCAAAAATTAATATAAAAAGGGGTTAACATAATGCTCGATTTTAAGGGTTAATTGTGTGAGTTAAGAGAAATAATTATATTTTTTAATTTCATGGAATTTACCGTTAGCTTTTTGCGTTTATAAAAATTTGGAAAAGCTTGCGGTTTCGGAAATATAAGGTGTCAAAAATTCAAATTTTACAAATTTCAAGAGGTGATAACTTGAGAGGGGGTGGAGATGGAAAAAAATTTTCTTCTAACGAAATGAACTATTTGTTAATGTCTAAAAGCTCCTAAAATTTCAAGCTTCTACAGGCTGGGGTCTAGAAGAAAAATGACATCAAAAATTTAGAAAAAAAGGACTTTAGATAACGGTAAATTTGAACGGCCATTTTGTTTTTCTAAAGTTTAACTATAGTATATCGCGCTAGGGGAAGCAAGCCACTGCCTTTCTGCGTTTGCAAAATTTCAAAAATGCTTATGGTTTCATTGCAACAAATATTTAAAAAAGGCCATTTTTAGGGTTTTGAGGGGGTATAGCTTCTAGAGGGGGGGAGATAGGTAAAAATTTTGTTCTACGGAAATAAGTTTCTAGTAAAGATCTATGTACGTATGAAATTTCATCTTAAAGGGTGTAGAAGTTTTGTAAACAAAAAAAGTGTCCACGGACGGACGGACGGACGGACGGACGGACGGACGGACGGACGGACGGACGGACGGACGGACGGACGGACGGACGGACGGACGGACGGACGGACGGACGGACGGACGGACGGACGGACGGACAGAGTGAAACTAATAAGCACTTTTTTCAAAAAATTTTTTGGAAAAGTGCTAAAAAAAAAGTTTGATCAAAATTTTATATAAATTTAATTAAAAATTAACACATTTTAATACTTACTATCTGGTAAAGTTTTAATTTGAATACAATAAATATGATAAGCACGATCACATTGCTCACAAAATAACATTTTAGTTCTATCAGCATTTCTTTTACATTTTATACAGCATTTACATTCAGCACACTGCCAATTATAACTTAAAACCCTATTTAAAACATTTGTTGACATTTCAATGCAACTTGGATGAACTAAAATCATAAATAACATTCATAATAAATCCCGTTTTTCTAATATAACATATGTATTACAAATTGTCTTACCTTTTCTTCTACAAGTATAACATTCAATACATACTTCTGGCTTTCCCTTAAGATTTCTATTCTGTGGTAAATGGCAAACGGAACATTTAATACCGTCTGGCGGTAAATCTTCTTCAGAATCGTCTGAATCAGAGTACTACAAAATATTAATTTAAATTAAATCAAATTTTTAAATTGCAAGACATTAAAATTACAGTTTCTGAATCAGAGCTTTCACTTTCAGAAGAATCACTGCTATCATCTGAATTATTTTCATTCGTTTTTATTAGTTGGACATCTTTTATATCTTTAAGTTCCTCACCTACATCATTAAAAGAATTATTTTCAACCTTCGTTTCCAGTTTTGTTTCGAAATCTGGTTTTTCAGTTTTGATATTTTTAATTTGAAAGTTTGCTAATATCGGAGATTCAATAACCGTATTTAATGGAAGTTTCCTAAATAAATTTATAAAACAAAATTAACAAATTTCAAAATTCAAGAATAAAATGTGAAAATAAAATAGAAATGAATCGAAAACAAACCTTAAATCCGCTGGTGTATATGCTTTGTATGTTTCACCAAATTGACCTGGTACTAAAGCTATTGGATATGGAGTAATTGGTTTCTTTGGTACTAAATTTTCAATTGGACGGTATACTTTTCCCATGCAAGCTACTGTTCCAGCTGCCGTTTTTGGCAATGGTTTATTAATAACATATGTTTGTAAATCAATACACATTCTACGTTCTTCCTTTCTTTCGTTGTTAAAGTGTGTATTCCATTTTGATGCTGATTGAAGAGCACGGTCGCGTATTTGTAAAGATTTATCAACATTATTATGAGATAATCCTTTTTGTTTAGCTTCTATTTCTTTTAAATGCTTTTGTCTGAGATAATTTTTGTACTCCTCATATTTGTCATAGAAATCTAAATACATAATATCTAAAACTTCATACGCTAGTACTGCTGTTATACCTAAATCGCACATTTTTTCAGTAACTAATGCTTTGTCACGCAAATAATTTCGTTCTTCCATATCAATTTGCCTTCGGAATAAATCTGGATATTTTCGTTTAAAACTTTTTATTCCCAAATACTCTGCTATTTGTTCCTGTATCATATAAGTTTCTCTATTGCGATCGGGACAACATCCTTTTGGTGGTGGCCAATCGTATTCTGCAATTCTTTCAACAGGATACTCCGTTTTACTGCGGAATAGTTTGAAATTTAGTTTATATATGATCTGTAATATTTGACATTTTAGTTTACCCATCCGGATCTAAAACTTCTAATTTTGATCTTTTCTTGACACTTGAAATACTTTGATCTAGTATACTAGTACTACTTAATACTGAACTTTGGCTATTTTCATCATTGAGAAACTCCGATTGCCTTTAAAAAACCAGATTTATTAAAATAATACCAAATATTGAATTTTTTATTTACCTTGGAATATTAGAACTGTCTGCGCTCATACGAGTGTCTTCTTCAAAAACTTGTATGGTAGATTGATCAAAGATATTTTTCGGCTTTCCCTCCTTTCATGACGGATGCAAAGTAAGTATGTAAAATTTGAAAACTAAAACGTTAAAATTAGCTTACCTGTGAGAAATTTCGTTCTCGAATTAAATTTGGGTTTGGAGTATGTGTCAAACCACCAATAGGTCTCCTAGGCGTTATAAAAGGTCTACCACGTCCACCACGCGAGCCACGTCCTCTACCTCCTCTACCTCGGCCACCTCTAGCAGACCCACGATTACCTCGTCCGCGGCCTCTGCCTCTTCGGGTTGGTGTTGAGAATTCTTCATTTCCATCTAAACAAAAAAGCAAGCAAATTTAATGAATTGGAATTTTTAGTTTAACATTTTTCATTTGATACCTTGACTATCAAAGCTTTCACTAAATAAATTACTTGGAGATTTGGGAGACCCAAAGTCTAATGGTGTTGCAAATATGTGAGGAGTTTGATATACTTCATCTTGAGAACAACTTTTTTCTGGTGTATGCGGGTTATCTATAGAAATCTCCTCATTAATAACCTCGTTGACAATTGCGTTAAATTGATCATCATTTGAAATGATCATGTTTGTTTCATTATTCTCTTCAATACAAACTTGGTTTTCTACAATAGTTGGGGATCGATCTTTATAGACTTGGGAATGCAAAGCGTCTTCTAACATCATTGAAACTTGAGTCCTCCGTTTTGGCTTAATGCTATTCTCTTTGATCATAGGTTTTTTTGGTCGCCCGCGTCCTCTTCTCGTACTATATGATGGTGGTACAGTTAACATGTTGATTTCAGGTACTTCGTTTGAATTTGAGTCTTGGTCATTATGGTGCTGTAATAATATATTAAGTCTATCCTGAACAGAATTTTCCGCGCAAACTAAATTTTGTATTTGATTACATTCACCCAGAGCATTTTCTGATAACATAGCATCTGATGCACTTAAACTATTTGCTTGCTCAGATTCAAACATATTTTGAGAATTCAATGGAAGATGAATTTCTGCAATTATATTTTGTTCTTCTAGCAAGTTTTTATTTTTGCTATTCAGAATAACGGACTCTTTTGTGCTACATATTTCATCAGTTAGATCAACTATATCTTTTATTTTATTATTATTCAACTTATTATCTTGTAAAGTATTTTGCAAATTTTGTTGCCCTAATTGTGGTTTTTCTTCACCTGATGGTTTACCCTCCTGCGAAACAATTTCAACAACTTCATCATCTTCATCTATTGATTCAATAGACTCAAAATCTGTAACAGTACAAAATTTTGTACCGTCCAAAGAGTTGGCTCCTGTATCACAAAGCATAATGTTATCTGATTCAGAATCTGGCAAACTAATTGTGTCGGTAATATTATTCATACTTGTTAGACAATTTGTAGGGGTCATTTTCAAACAAACTTCAAATGATGAAAGTGAGGTCGTTGAAGTTTCTATTATTTGGTTAGCACCTATTAAGTTGTCTTTTGTTCTTTTATATGGTATTTCATTTGTACAATCGCCATTATTCCCTGATTCTGAAAACATTCCGTCCGGTTTTCTTTTCATTGAGCTTGACGGGCAACGGTTTGACTCTTTAGCATTTTGTATACTATCATTTTGAAGTACAACGTCTCCATCAATGCAATTTTGATTACCTTGGAAATGATTGACTATGAAACTATTACTGTCATTTGTCATTTCATTTTGCATTAATATATCATCTAACTTGTTTCGTTCACTTTCAACTGCATGTTGACCATTTAAAATGTGCCCATAATTATTACCACGACATTTTTCAATGTTCCCGTCATGTTTGGTGCCTTTCAATATGTCATAAAGCAATTGATTATTTAACCTCTTTGAAGTATTATAATTATCTTGGTTTAAATTATTATGTTGGGGATTTGGGGATGACCCTGGTGATGGTGTATCTGTTAAATCTACTGTTTCTAATAATTCCTGATGTGGTTTATTTGACAATTCTTGGGATTGTCTATTTAATATTTGATTACCATCATCGATTTTGATAGGGACCGCATCTAAATTATTTTGAACACAGTCTTGTAATCTATTTGAACTCATTATATTGTTTTCCACATTTTTAATAGAAACATCTGTTGATTTTAATTCATTTTTATTACCAATCAAAATACAGTCATTTTCCAAACTTGGTTGACAATTATTTCTAATACAAATGTTACTATTGTCTTGGCTCGTCGAGCAATCTGTATTTAAAAATTCTAAAGTTGGAGACAATCTCTTATTGGATGATAATTTTATTTTTGTCTGAGTTTTTAATTTTTTTTCTGATAAAGGACTGCCACTACTATTTTTAGATTTTGCCAAATCTTTCTTATTTCTTTCTATTCTTATATCTCTAAGCATAACTTTTGGAATACTACGATCATTTAATTGAGGCACATTTTCATTTTCACAGAACTGTATATCTTTAATTATTAATTTTGATGTAGATTTATCAACTTCATCTGAAATTTGATTCCCAATTATACCTGCGGTTTCCGACGTGGATTGTTTTATAACGAGTTTTGGAATTTTTTCAGAAATATTTACTGAATCAGAAATTGCTGAAGTTGTGTTTTCCGCGATTACTGACGCTTGATTTCCAGAACTAATAATAGTTAATTTTGGAATTGTTTTATCATTCTCAGAACCATGTTTTGGTATGTTATTTGATTCTAATTGAGATGATTTTAAGATTTTTTTAGGAAGTGCTTTATTAATACTGCCGTTTCCTTCTTCTAAAATAACATGATCTTGACCATCTACTCTTGATGTTGTTTTTTCTTGCAGATTAATTTTTATTTTTGGTACAACGCGTTCATTTGATGTGACATTTGACATACTGTTACTACTGCTGCTCTCATGTGGTGCAGCAGAAGTATACAATCCAGAAGATGATTCGTTAACATGGATTGTTAGTTTTGGAATTGTTTGGCTATTATCCAAATGACTTGTATGCTTAATGGAAAATTTTGGTGTTTTATCTTCGATGTTCTCATCGACAACAGTTGATTCTAATGATGCAGTTGTGGACACTGATTTTGCACGAATAGTTAATTTTGGTATTGACTGCGGCTCTTTAGAGCTAGAGGATGTTGAATTTCCAGATAAACTTTTCTTTGAGTGCAGTTCTGAAGAATACACGGTGGTAGTTGAATCGGTACTGTGGTGTCCCGAAGCGGGGTTCGCTTTAATGGTTATTTTGGGTATAACTGCTGAAAATATTAAATATTAAGTAAAATATTTCTTTAAAAAAATGTCAATGTTACCTTCAATATTCTCTTCAATATTCGGTTGCAATATTGGCTTGATGGTAAGTTTGGGGACGATGCTGCCATCGCTTTGGCTTAAAATAGCATTTAATGTAGGGGTACTGCAACTTGATATTATTGTTGACGATGATGATGACGGTTTTGTATAAGTTTTAATAGTTAATTTTGGAACGCTTGTAGGTGATAATGTATTAGCAACAATATGGCACTCTTGTAAATGTTGTGATTGTTGTGGCTGTTGTTGCTCTTCATGCGGCTTTTGCTGTTGCTGCTCCTGGTTTTCTTGAATTGGAACTTTTGCAATTATGGTTTCAACGCAATCGCCAGTAGTTTTTATTGTTAATTTAGGCAATGGTGGCATTTCTTCACAGGTTTTCTTATTCACTTCACCTTTTACAATATTATGTCGTTCTTGGGTTGGTGACGGTGAAGACCTTGAAGAACAACTTGGACTTGTTGAAGAAGATCGTGATGATGAGGATCCTTGTTCAATGCGATTAATATTAGATACATTGCCAGTACCAGCAATACCACCAGTGTTATCCATTTTAATAGTCAGTTTCGGAACAATCACTGACTGTACTGGATTGCCACTAATATCACTTGACGACGTTTTTATAGTAAGCTTTGGTACAATATGAGGTTCCGACAATATTGTTGATGTAGTTGATGTTGTACTTAATGCATTCGGTATTACCACATTTGAACAATTTGCCTCAGTTGAGGATGATGATTGTTTAATAGTAAGCTTTGGTATTGGAACATTATTTGAAGAACAATTCAATATGCTACTACTAGTATTATTTGCACTGAGGTTACAAGAAAGCTCTGTGGAATTTGATTCATCATCGGCAGATGGCTTAACTATTGGTTTTATTGTAATTTTAGGAATTGGTGAATCATGACGATTTAAATTTATTTTTAATGGTTCCACCTTACGTTGTTCAACATTTGTCGAATCGTTGGAGTTATTACAATTTAACGTTGAATGTGATGACGACAGTGTAGATTGTGTAAGGTTACTAGTATAATTTATATTACTACTACTATTAAATTCATTTGAATTTATTTTCGATTTTGTTGTTGAATTTTGTTGAGATTCTAAATTGGAGTTTATAAAATTGTATTTATTTGCAATTTTAATAGATATTTTCGCAGGCGTTATAATGCTGCTACTGTTACTGCTGGTGCTGCTATTTTGACCGCTAGTATTATTATTATTACTATTACTAATACAATTTGTTACACCACTTAAACAAGACGTTGATCCATTACTACTGTTATTACTTATATTATTATTGTTATTATTATTGATATTATTATTACTATTGTTATTATTACTATTATTATTATTGTTATTATTATTATTAATTAATCTACTATCAATTTGTTGCGATTGTTCATTATCATTACTAATTCCTAAACGATTACTACTGCTATTTAATAAATTATCACTTTTCATTAAATTAATACTACTTGAAGAATATGAAGTTGAAGTAAAGGAAGTAGAAGGAGATGATGTTGCTGTCGCTATTGTTGATGAAGAAGATGAAGCAATTAAAGAACCAATATTTTGTTGATTTGAGGGTGTATTTGAGGAAGTTTTTTTAATAATTATTGATGGGGGTTGCACTTGATTTTTTAAAATATTTAAATTTCTAGATCCTAGATGTGAAGAATTAGGGCTTCCCATCGATTCAATTTCTAATTTTCGCCTTGTTGATCTCGTTGTTAGCCCACTTAATCGTGGTGTATTCATATTTGGCGGACTTATATTGGGATTTTCCTTTGATTTATCTAAAAAGAAAAAAAGAAATAATTAAAAATAAAAAAAAAATATATTATAAAACTATTTTACCATAACTGCTACTACTAGAACTTGATGGTAATACGCAAAGTTCCCCAGAATCAGAAACAGTATTTGTTGAATTAACCATTTTTGATTGTTGTTGACGATGTTGCTGTTGTTCAATTTCTTCTAAATATTCATCGTCTTCATCAAATTCATCTTCACTATCTATATCGTAATTAACTAATGATGTAGTTTTTGATGGTGAAATATTTTCTGTACTACTAGAAACAATTTGACAAAAACCAGCTGACGACGTTGACGGTGATATGGCTATCGATGCACCAGCTGTTGAATTAGCTGTTAATGGTGGACTATTTTCACCTCCAGATTCACCACCAGATGATTCTGTTTCAGATGGTTGATTGAATGGTCTTGAAACAGGTACAATCGCTGATGATGAAGTTGGAGATGCACCCGTACTTATTCCAACCGGGGTATTTGTATTTGAAAAAGGCGACGATGATGAAGAATTTGGTGAAGTTGATGATGAAGCTATAACTGATGTTGGATAAATTGCATTTGTTGTTAAATTATTAGGGGGTGTTGTTGATGATGATGTCGAAGTAACTAATAATTCTTCACTATCTTCAGAATGCTGTTGTTGTTGCTGTTGCGATTGTAACTGTTGTCGTTGCTGTGTTTGTTGTTGTTGTTGCTGCTGTGATGATGATGATGATGATGATGCGTTTATGTTAATTGTATCATTCATCTCCAAATTTGTGCTTATGTTTATTTTGAAAAATTCTTTTTTTTTTTTTTCGTCGCAATTTTTTATTTTTTTTTTTTAATTTTATACTTTTTTTATTTTTACTTCTCTTGATACTTTATTCTTTTTTGTTCTTATTCTGAGTTTTTTTTTTTTTAATTATTTCTCTTTGTTAATTTATTGCAATTTGTAACATTTTATGATAATATTTTATTATAAAATAAAAAAAGAAAATAAAGAAACCAAAAATTGTCAAAGAGTTTTGTCGCAGTTTCCCAATTTTTCAATCATATTTTAAAATGTAATTTTGTAAAAAGTGTGTTGCACCAATAATTAGAGGTAGATTACTGCAATCTGAAATTTCAAAAAATGAAAAAATTTCTTTAATTAAAATATATAGTATTAAAATGTAATTTTATATAAAAACAAAAACTTTTCGGTGGAATAGCAGAAGCCCAGTTAGAAACCCAATCAAAGACATTTCCTGTAAGATTTTCATATTTGAAATGAAAAACGGTTGAAACTTTTAACAAAATATTATTAACTATTCTTCTTGAAATAATTGCAAGGCAGTAATTATAAGTACTTAGAGCGTTATAAAAAACAAAACTTTAATCCTATTGGTGTTAAATTTGAAAAATTTCATTATATAATTAAAATAAGTTTAGAATTCGAATGTTCAAATATCTTTTATAATTTTGATTAAAAGTTTTGAATTGAAAGTAAAATACCAAATAATTTGCCGAATAATATTATTATTTACATAAATAAGCTGCAAAAAGCTTAAAATATAGAAAATATATGCTTATAAAATATCTCCATCTAATATTCCTAACGCAAATAAACTTTAATTATATAATTTTCTATTAATATTAATAATCCCGCTTATTTACAAACTATATATTTAAATTTTCTAATGCTGCCCTGTTAATTTATAAAATCAATTACGCATACGTAGCTACATATACTTATATATTTTCTTAAATTTACTTACTATAAATAGTATATAACAAATATTGTGAAGAATATCTTTTAGAAAAATGATAACGGCATAGAATAACAGAACAAAAAAAAAGCAAAAATAAAGCATAAGTAATACAAGTTGTTTTCGTATTCTGTATACATGCATATCTAATTATAAAAGCGCACATATGTATGTATACACGTATATAAGGCCGTAAAAATTGAGTCACTACGCTAACCCTACTTACTCTACTACCTATATACTTTAAATACCTTTAGGTTTTTCAAATAAAAATTTTCTTTTCAATTATAAACCAATGATATTTTTCATTAAAGAATAATAGAAGAAAAAAAAAGGAAAAAATAATAATAATAATAAAAAGGGATTCCCCAATATGACGTCATTTTTGTTTTTTTTTTTTTTTTGTTAATTTTTCATTTTTCTTATTTTTCATTACAGAGAGATTCTATTTTATTCTTATTTTATTTTAATTGTATATATGTATTTCACGCATATATATATGTGCACATATATATATATATATATGTATATATATATATATATATATGTAAGTAAGTGTAAATAAGTATGACACAAACAAATATACATACGTATATATTTTTTTATATATAGTCGATATTATACATAATATAAAAAATAATAACAGCTCTAGTGTATGTATATGTATGTATGTGTAAAATTATGAAAATTTTTCGTAACATATTATCTACCGATATTAAAAAAAAAAAAAAAAAACAACAAAAATAAGAAAACTAAAACGAAAAAAAAAATCAGCTGTTTGCTAGAAAATTTTTTATTATTGTTTTTGTTTTTATTTTATTTTTTATTGTTGTTTTTTTTTAATTTTGTTTTTATTTTTATTTTCTGTGTGTGTAAACGATGCTGTCAGGGCTTTTCTTTTGATGTTATCAGTATAACATTCTTATTAAGCCTTCCCTCCTGTTTTTTTTTTTTGTTTTTTTTTATAATTTTTCTTCTTTCTTCCTTGAAAATTTTTAAATCTTAAAATATTTAAGTATTAATTGAATTAAAATTAAAACTAATTGAGATTTTGTTGGTAACAGTAAAATAATTTTCATTAGTTTTACATAAAATTTGTTGAAATGTTTCTTACAAAAGGTTTCTTACCTCTGACTTAATTTTAAAATTATTGCAAGCAAGCACTTTCATATGCTTTCTTATGTCGTTGTATATGTTCTTAAACTTTGCTTAATTATGAATACTAAAATTATCTATGTACTTACCTACACAAGAAAATTTAATTTTGCATTCTAACACTGCTAATAAAAATAATTAAAATGTTCGGATCATTTAAGGACCGAAAATTACTTATTGAAGCATTTTTTTTGTGTGCAACTCTTAATAAATTTTAATTTTGGATGAATTCTCTCTATTGTGAATTGTTTTTTTTTTTTTCAAAATTTTGTTTATTTAAATTTAAAAGACTTCAACTAAATTAAGGACTTTTCAAATGTTTCCTAAAAAAATCTATTATTCTGCATTTTCTTACTTATTCTGCAATTTCCTACTTATTTTAAAAAAGTTCAGTGTAAATCATAAATTGTGACGACAATAGAATTAAAATTATTATATGTAAATATTAAAAAACAAATCAAAAATTTATGAAATAACAACAAAAACAACACAATTTTTCGAAAATAATTTTAAAATTCAGAAAAATATTTTCAAAAATTAAATATTTTAACAATTAACTAAGAATTATTTACAAAACTATGTTAAAAAAAAGTTATAATTTAAAATTTACTGAATATATACTCACAATTTCATAGAATAAATGTGTGTGTTGTATATAATATTCTTTGTTACTAAAAATATAACGGTATATATAAAAGGTTATGTTACATTGAGGTAGGTTTTCAACTCCAAGAGAAAAATAAACAAAAAATACCCTCTTATATTTTTAAAACAGTTTTACTTGACCAGTAATTCTCTCTTTAAACTATAATTATTAAGAATTTCATATTGATTAATAAATACATACATACGTATATGTACGTAACCCTATATAATATACAGGTACATACATACATACTTATATAAAATTTTTCCTACTCTCAAAAAATAAAAGAAGGAGCAGAGTTAAAACTTTTAAATTAAAATGAAATTAAGTTTATTAATGTCATTTTCATAAAAATAAAAAAAATAATAATCGAATGAATCACTTATTAATATATTTCACTCACTACTTATATATTTTATTTATTATTTACATTAATAATACAAATATACACATAAATATTATGTATGCACATGAATTTTTAAGTTCTCTCACATTATAAAAATTAATGGTTCTTTTGGAAGCTTTTATTTGAAAAAAATTTTAGAGAAACAATATTTTTCTGTAAAGAAATTGCTAAAATTAATAATAATAAAAAAAAAAATAAATTAAATATAACAAAATAAAAAATCAAAAGTTCAATAAACTTTTAATTTTCATACACAATTTTTTTTTCAATTTTTCACAAAAAAAAAAAAAAAACAGAAAAAAAAAATTCATTCAATAAAAAAAAATAAGCAAGATGAGCTTCTTTTATTAAAACGATTAAAGTATAACAGAAAGTATAACAGAAAATAAACACATTAAATGTATATACCAATGTGTATTTGTACAAATTTGTAAGTATGTGTATGTATTGTAGGGCATTGCGACATTTTTATAAACAAAGAAATAATTTAAAAAGTATGTACCTATGTATGTTCGTTTTTTTGTTTTTAAAATTTGTTAAGTGACCCTGAAAATTTTTCCTATTATAGATTATTAAAGGTAACTGAATGTTATATGCAAATAAATATTTCAATAAAAAGTACATAAAGAAAACAAACGAAATATGTATGTGCTTACAAAATTAATGCATTTTATAAAACGTAAGCAAACACAGTCAATCTCTTCGTACATGTACGATCGGTCACTCTATTCTTACTTGAACGGTCAATCTCTTCTTAATATCTTGAATTTCATATATTCAATATTTTGAATTATTTATTAGATTATCAGTTTCCTATAAACAACATATGTATTTTAAATTCTGAATATCAAACTTGTTTTTAAATACTTTTTCCGTTTTAGAGCTCTGAAAAGCATACCTACCTAATTTATTAAAAGTATACCTTTAAGATTTTTTGTTTAATTCTGTCTCCAGTTTCAAATTACCTACTTATTACTATTAAATTTTAAAAAAAAATCAGACGACACATTTATCCGGGTATGACTGTACTTATAATAGTTCGTGTTACAAAGAATTAGACTGTACAATAATTGTATTCAAGAAAGAAAAACTTGTAATAAAATCGCTTTATTATTTTATAATTGAATTTTAAAGAAAATTGTGTTTTAAATTAAAAGTTTTTAAAAACTAATTTCAAACTTGATAAGCACACCTACATACCTACGTAATGTGGAAGTTTATATTGTATTTCTGAAAATTAAGGTGGAATAAATATTAAAAATTAAAAAAATTCAAATATCCATACGTAAATATTTTATTTAAATTAAATTTTTTTATTTTAATTTAATTATTTATTTATTTTGACGTACATTTAAATTAAATGCTGTAAATTATATTATAATAAAATTTTACTCATAAAAATATATAAACGTAATGCCATACATGCATCTGCAATACAAGAGACATTCAGTGCATTTTGCGATTAAATCCATAAAAACGAAAACTTGAAAAATACCTTAAAAAATTAATTTGAAATCGTGGATTAATTACGGAGCTTTATGTAAATTTACTGCCAGTAAGTACACAAAGTTAATCAACAAATATTAATGTTAACTAAACAGCTTAAAAAAGCATGACAACTTGACGAAAACCTTACAATTTCGATTATATTGCGAATTTATTACAACTTTTAAGAGAGTTCAGATTTCACACATGATAGATGTTCTCTATTTTTTGATTTAAAAGAAAATTTTATTTATTTTATCACTTATCAAATTGTTTAACTCTAACATTCTAGCAAAATAGTTTTATTTTAACGGGTATCATTCGCCAACTATCAATTTTTAAATTTTTTCTTAAATTTTTATTTTAGATTCAATCATACTTATGCTTAAAACAAATGCTCTCGTTTAATGTTCTCATTATACACAAAATATTTTCACATTTTATGATTTTCCAAAAAAAATGGAGTTAATCGTAATCAATACTGAACTCGCATATAGTTTTCAATAAACTTAAATAAATATATATATTTATAAATGCAATAAAATTACACTACAATCATCATTGAAAGTTATTGAACAAAATTATAAAGTAGTTACACAATTAAAAAATGAAAATGAAAAAAAAAATTAAATAATTATTCCATTTGATATTTACGTACGTATAGCTTATGAAAAGAG